TTTTCGTATAGATATACTGAGACACTTAATTCCTTCTTACAATTCCATCGGATAAAGCGATAATAGATATTCATCTATATGAAATAGAAACAGTTTAAGAAAAGAAACGATATAAATAGCTGATTAATTTTTGTTTTTTAGATGACAACAACAGAAATAGATGTTGATCGTGTTTACTCACCATCTCTTTGGTCTCATCGATTTAGTGATGGTGAAAAAGTCATTGAATCCCATGTACAGGCATTAACAAAAGGTACACAATGTGCACAAACAACGATTCCTTGCTTGTTAAATTGGACCGTAAATTCAACAACTTCATTTCATGATCATGCGATTGATTTATATTTTCCATCAAATGTTACTGAACTATTACCTTCGATTGATTCAATAAAACCAAAAGCAATTTTTGTCTATATCCATGGAGGATATTGGCAATTTCTCTCACGAAATGAAAGCGCATTTATGGCTCAAACAATGAGTGATGCACAAATTCTTACAGCTGTTATTGGTTATCCAATTGCTCCACATGGTACAATAGATCAAATTGTGACATGTGTTGAACAAGCTTTAGTTAAAATTCTCAAATGGGCAATGAAATTATCTAGTAAAGTATTTATTTGTGGTCATTCAGCTGGTGGTCATCTTGCATCAACACTTCTGTTGATTAATTGGAAAAATAAATATAATATTGATCATCAAATTTTTGGTGGCTTCTTTCTTATTTCAGGTGTTTTTGATCTCATTCCACTTGTTTCTACATATGTCAACAAACCACTTAATATGACCATATCAACAGCTAAAAATCAAAGTCCTTTGCATCGTGATAGCAATGACTATTGGTCAGCACTGAAGCATGTACCTATTCTATGTATTGACGCTCAGCACGATGCTCCAAGTTTTCACGATCAAAATCGGCAATATGGTTCTTATTTACAGAAAATTGGTTTCGACAATGTTAAAATCATGCAGTTAGATAATTATGATCATTTTGATCTTATAGAACAACTTGACAATAAGGATCAACCGTTGACAGCTATGATTTTAACATTAATAAACGATTTCATTTAATATAGATTTATTGTGTTTAATTGGTTTTTGTTTTTCTTTAAAAAACATATAATAAAGCTTCATATAATCTAATTGAAAGACTACCGAGATGCTTGATACTGCCATCTACTGTTCCTACGATTGTAAAATCTATTGTAGAAAGAAAAAAGTCCTCGTTTGTTCTCTTTTCTTCAACATTGCTTTACGGTTGCCAGGAGACATTTTCACATCACATTTCATTTGTAACATGGCACCACCATCGTTTTATATAGTTATATATGGTCTTTTAAATTCTGATGAATATCAATTAGCTAAACATTGCTTGGAAGATTTACAACGAACACATTCAAATCAAATATCTAATTCAGAAATTCATCCATTACTTGAATATGAATGGAAATCATTTTTACTAAATAAACGTACAGAATTACGTGGTGAAACATGGTCATTCAATGATAAATGTATGGTATTTATTGATAAACAATTACTTGGAAATGCTGAACAATTTTTACATTGGGCGAAAAATACATTTGATCATACTGATTTTCGTTCTAATGAACTTTTAGGTGTATTTTCACATGAAGAATACAAGTAAGTGTATTTATAAAAGAAAATAAATTATAAGCATTTCCTTGTTATTTAAGACATCAATTTGAATCAAGTGATGGTCAACACACGTATTGTTTCATGGATTTTCAAATTGAAGATCGTGAAAATTCTCAAACAACTGATATTGGTCGTTTAGTATTTGAGTTATTTAATGATCAAGCACCTGAAACATGTGAAAATTTTCGAGCATTATGTACAGGTGAAAAAGGTCAAAGTGGAAAAACTGGCACAATTCTTCATTATAAAGATTCAATTATTCATCGTATTGTACCAAATGGATGGATTCAAGGTTAATTAAATATTCTTTTATAAAAAAGAAAAAGTCTACATATATACAACTTGTTTTCAGGTGGAGATATTCGGGGTGGTAGAGGTAACGGTGGAGAATCGATCTTAGGTGAAACATTTCCTGATGAAACATTTGTTGTTAAACATAATAAACGAGGTATTCTTGGTCAGTATTCATATTTTTCATATGTTCTTAATTACTAAATTAAATTTTATTTTTTTAAGGTATGGCAAATAAAGGTTATCGACATTCAAACGGAAGTCAATTTTATATAACTCTATCAGACGCTTGTGAATGGATGTCAAATCGTTTTGTTGCATTTGGTCGTGTTGTTGAAGGCTTTGATACATTATATAAACTTGAACATATTGATACAATTAATCAACGACCAATAAAAGCTGTTAAAATTGTCGATTGTGGAACAGTTCAATTCGATGGAGAATAAGGTTTTTTTTATAAACTTATTTTTATATACGACAAATAACAATTTATATTTCATTATTTCGAGAAATAATCACAGGAGTTTTCAGTCGTTCATATAATAATCATAATCCTTGAAAAGTATACGTTGCTGTTATTAACTGATCAAGTATCTTGCTCATACGCACTTGAATCCTCGTTCAATTCGATTAAAAAATTAAAAAATAAAAAAATAAAAAGTTAACCCTCACCCGATCATCATATGTTTAGATATAATAGAAAGAATAATAAAAATCAACAAACAAAGCGGTCCACCAAAAATACGAAAAAAGGAAAAAGAGCTTTAACCAAACAACATGATTTAAATTTGCGTGGATTTCAGAAGTTCACAAAAAGACAATATATGTTCTTGTTTTTACTTTTTTTTTTTTGAGCTAAAAAAAATCAATTCTACGTTCGTGTGAAAAGAGAAAATAAAAAGGGGAGAGAAAAAAAAAAGGGTTTTCATAAAATGAAGGTATTAATAGTTTAACTTCGTTCTTTTCTTCTATTATGAATGACAATAATATAATAAGTTAGTTTCGCATAGAAGATATGATTGTTGAAATTCTTAATGATATAGTAACAAAAGAAAAGAAAGCAGATGATTCAAATGAATGTTTATTTTTTTGAATCTTGTTCAATTTTGTATGACATAATGGCTTCTTCGCCAAGAGCTTGAAGTACAGTGACTTTAATTCCTTCTCCACTTTCAAATTTAGCTTTAATATCTTGACCTAAATCACCTTCAGGAAGTTTTATATCACTACGCGTATCCGAACTATCATCCATCAATGATACATAACCATCACTATCAATATCAATCAACTAACAAAAAATAAAAAGACAAAACAAATTGCATAGTTTTCTTTTAAATAATAGGTTTGTTTTCTTTACTGAATATTCAACACGTTTAACATTTGGGACATTCATATTATGTGTTGATGGACAAATATCTTCGTATTTTTTTCCTGTAAAAATATCAATGCCAACCATATGAACCTAAATAAAAATATTGGATTTTAATTCATTTTTAGAAAATTTTCAAAGAAAAAACAAAAAAAATCTTTACTTTAGCATGTCCATGTTTGCCAGTTTTTGACGTTGACATTTCCATAATTTTACATGGACGATTTTTTAACATAACGAAGCCGTTTTTACGTAAAGCTGAGCATTGTTGAGGATATCTGTTATTATCAATTTTCAGTATTAAGAAAAAATTCTGCTAAATGAATGCTTACGTTGCTGATGCTCCAGCATCACCTGTTTGAAAATCTTCATCATGATCATGTGAAGCAGCAGCATTACTTTCGGCCATGTTAATGCTTAAAAATCGAAACCTATTAAAAACTTCTACAATAATAGATAAAATTACAATTATCATCAATCATCGCAATTCGTAGATTTTCTCTTATTTATATTATCATTCAATTAAAAAAAAACTAAAAACAATCAATAAATGAATCAACTGAATGAATAACATCAACCGTGTATTCTCTTTGGAATTTACCACAATACGTCGCCATTCGAATGGCAATACCTCTGCTAAGAAGACGACAACCTTGCCTTCCTTCGTTTTGCTACGCTTGTGTTAATATTTTATTCGATATCTTTATTATTTTTATTATTAATAGTAATCTATGCTAAAAATATCAAAAATTGAAAAATATCCTTTATTTCTGTTGTAAGGATTTGCATAAAACTAAATAAAAATGATGTGATCTTCTGCCATCTATCGTAAATCCTTGATTTTATCTTAAGAAAATATTTAGGTCAATAATCATCTTAAAATGATACATTTTATTATTATTATTTGGAAGAAAAAAAATTGAACAGTATATTCAAGATTTTTTTCACAAAGACTGAACACTTTTTTCCATTATATCAGAAATAATTGTATTCTAAACTTTTCATGAAGATAAACTAAAATTAATTATAATATTTAATCGAAAAAGATGTATTCTTCTAACACAATCGAGCATTTGATTTTTTTTTCTTTACTGTTGAATAACGGTAAGAACATCCTTTTCCTATGATCTTATTTTTTTAATTGTTCTTTAAAATACATATCCTGAGATTAGCTTAGAAAGTGCCGGAATAAATATCTCGAGATTGAACAAAGTAAACAATTATTTCCGTCTCATTGAACTTTGATCAATAGGAAAAAATGACCTTAAAACTTTAAAAAAATTGATTGCATCTATTCAAATGAAAATAATCGTTTAGAAATTCTTTCTTGTTTGATATTATCATTGAGTCACTTATTAATTGTTGCCATGCATTTAACACATAAATAAGAAATAAACAATTTCTTGTATAAAATTTAACATATCGATCTTCTTATATTTTTTTAAATAAATATAACACTTTCATGGTTATTTTTCTTCTATATAGAAAAAAGAATAGAGATAACAGCAAAAGTTATAATGCACATTGAATGAAGGACACATAATATCACCGTATATTCACATATCAACATATGTGCTAGCAACAACAAAAAAAAAAAGAAGAGAAAAAGACATCTTTGACTCCATACTACCCGACTCCGAGAAAAGAAAGAATTACAAAAGAGAAGTAAAAGAAAGTATGTTTTAACCTATGTATCAGTGGACATATTTGGACGTGATGCTAATGATCGACACTAGAATAAAGATATAAAAATTTTTAAATTTATATATCAGAGAAATCACATACTAGTGTATGCATAACATCATCACTATCATTTATAGGTCTATGACAAATTAAACATAACTAAAATTACGAAAAAAAAAAAAGAACATGGTTATACTGTATTATGATAAAAGAAAAGATCATACTTTTGATTTAACTATTGTTGTTTGATCAGCCTGACGACAAGAAAATGATGGTATTGATGAATTACTATATGATGTCATTAAACGACGTGTACCTTGTCCATCACTATGTGGAAATTGTGATGATGTTTGATATCTATTACTATTTTTCATATTGTTTTCAAGATCTTGTATCATACTACTAAATGGATTATCTAAATCCATTGATGAGTTTTTTTGTTGATCATTACGTAACGATGATATTGTATGATGAATAAATAAAATTAAATGATGTAATTCATCACATGTATAAGCCATTGCTTTGCATTCATTATGAACTTCATTTTGATATACATTTCGAAAATTTCCAAGTAATTTATCCATTAATTTAATCTAAAAAAAAAATTTTTAGTTAAACAAGATGATTAGATGTTGTTGTTGTTGTTTTTTGTTTAAATATAATAACATACTGTACGCAAACTATATTCTTCAATAAGATCCATATTATTTATAGGATCCATTGTTTGTGTTGAACGATTAATAGAATCATTTATTGGACTACATTGAACAGATATATCATTAACAAGAGTTTTTCTATTGATAAAAAAGAAAAAGAAAAAGAAAAAAAGAATGTTTAGAAGAATAAAAACAAAAAAAAAGAATTTTACTTTCTTGATTTTTTAATAGCTTCAATAGATTCAAGACTTTTTTCAATTAAATTATCAAATAATAATCTATATGATGATTGATTTTCATTATTTGTATTATGATCAATACCATTTGTTATTATTGATGAATCTTTAGTAGGAATTTTATTATTGATGAAACAAAATTCATTAGCAAATGGATTTAATTCTGGTATTTTTGTGTTTGTTTTCGTTTTCTGTTCAATAAATGTTAAAAAATCATCTTGTCGATTATCATTATCAATATCTTGAACAGAAGACGAAGAAGGCAAAGGAATTTGATCCGATTCTAAAATAATAATTAGAATAAAAAATTTTTCTTTTTTCTTTTTACCTGAACGAGATATAAATGATGATGCTGATGATGAATCTTTACGTGGTCTTAAATATGTATCATTTTGATTTGTATCAACAATCATTAATGCAGTTTTTGCTTGTTTTGTTTGATCTATAATTGGTGATTGACATTCACGAATATTCAAGTTTTTATTGCGTTCAACGTCCTTTCCAGCAGTTGGAGAGCCTATTGATGAATGCTGTAGTTGTTGTGATGATAGCAATCGTGTTGGCATTAATGGATGTGGTGGAATTAATACTGCTGAATTAGTGACATGTGTGACTGGAGATAAAATATTATTTGGAGTAGAATAAAATGGATTATAAAATGTGTTATAACCAAGTCCAACATTTCCATGACGATGATTACCAGTTGATGGATATGTTGAAACGTTAGGATAAACAGCTGAAGCAAAAAATTGTTGCCCAGTTGCATTAGCATTACCATAAGGAAAAAACATAGGCATCATTGGAACAAATAAAGGAGCAGGTACAGTGATCGATCTACGATTCTAAATTGAATAGACAAATGAAAAATTGATTCAGCATTAAACAAAGCCATACTTCATCTGTAGTAGGTGTCGTACCATTCTGACTCATTCCTATGATAATCTTAGTCTAAAGCGAAAAATAGAAAGACAGAAATAAAGAAAAAGAAAAGAATGTTCCATTACACATTCATTACATGCTGGCGAAAACAAATGGCGCACTTAGTCTTTGTGTTCATTTTATTATTTTTCGAAAAAAAACAAAGAAAAAGTATTTCCTTTCTTTTGCAATCAATTATAGTTTATTTTTGAATTCAAAAACTAGTCTTAATTCCATTTCAGTCTTTTCTAATTGTTTTGTCATCATGCAAAGCTGTTCAACGTCATATCAATAAAAAAAAAAAACCAATGGATAAATAAAATCTTGGTCAAACAACAAATTTTCTTTTTTTTTTTTGACTAAGAAAACGAGAAAAAAGAGAACAAAAACATTAGAACTAAAATAATTATTTTTCTATTCGTTTTTTGTTTGTATAGACTGTTGAGTGTGTATTTTAAATAAGTAAGTATATAATGAGAAAAAAAAGTAAGAGCGAAACAGACGAGAAAAAAAGATAAACATCAAGTACATTGTGTTGGTTTTCATTCTGCGAAACGCACACACACAAACAGATCAAGCAGTAAGAAAAAAAAGACAAAAAACACTTAGCAGCAGAGCATAGAGCAGTGAGACAAGAAAAAAAAGAGAAAAACACAATGATACACGCGCTGAATAAAACGACTAGAACAACTGCGTTCGCTCTGAAACGACACACATACAACAGCAGAAGTAGTAGTAGTAGGACGAGAAGACTGGTGTGAGAACTATGTTCACACGATACCGATCCATAACTATACGACAATTAAAAGTAACATACACACACACACACACACACACACATACATACATACATACATTCATACATACATAACTACTGACAATTATGAAAAAGAAATGAGGAGTGAGAAGCAAAAAAGCAGCTTACAAAAAGAAGAGAGAATGCAGGCAGAAAAAAACCCGTATCGAATTTAAAAGAGAGATAGAAAGTCTCTGTAAATATGTATGCATGTGTGTGTTTGACAAACGTGTTTCACCACTGTTGAGAAAAAAACAACAACAAGAGCACAACAGAGACAAAAAAAAGAAAAAAAAGAAAGAACGACAAGCAAAATTGGCAATACCAAACGTACAAAAAAATATGTCCACCAGCCTAGAGATAGAGAAGAAAGAAAGAAAAAAAAACATAGAGTTATTGTATTGCTTGAGGGAGAATAGGTAAGAAAGCTGGCTCTTATTGTTGTCGTCGATGTGACAAAGCAGATCTCTTGTAGGAAAGATAGTTAGTAATTGAGGCTAGTTCCAAATCCTCAAAAAGCTATCCCACGAACCAGTCGCTACGGCCATACCATCTTCGGTTACACCAAGACAACTGACACGATTATCGTGACCAGCCAGAACACCTATTAAAAAAAGAACACTAGTTTTATAAAAATCCGAAGAAAAAAAAAACTTACCAGCACGTTCAAGACGAAGTGTGTCCCAAACATTACAATTAAAATCATCATAACCGGCCAATAGAAGACGACCCGATTTGGAGAAGGCAACCGATGTTATACCACATATAATATTGTCATGGGAATACATTCCTACTTCTTGATCAGCACGAATATCGAATAGACGACAAGTTGCATCATCAGATCCTGTAGCAAATGCCGATCCATTTGGAAAGAACTATTATTAATAAAAAAAAAAATTAATATTTCATATAATCAACGCAGAGAAAAATCTATCTATCTATATATATATATAGATGTCAAAAGATCGATTAACATACGGTAACAGCATTGATATCCGACTCATGGCCGGGAAATGTTTGTTTACACATGCCTTCTCGTATATCCCAAAGCTAATAAAAAAATGAAACAATAAAAGTGATAATCAGATTAATAATAATTTCAATTACTTTGGCAGAGGCATCGCATGCACCCGAAACAAATGTTTTCATGTCGGGTGATAATGAAAGTGACATAACATCACCCGTATGTCCTTGAAAACTAGTTGTTTGTTGTCCAGTTTCAATATCCCACAGAGCACTACAAAAGAGAAAGAAAAATACTTTTACTACAATTGAAATAAGAAATAATAATTCAATACTAACCATGTCATATCGCCTGAACTTGTTACAATTTGAGAATCATCAAGAAAACGACAGCATGATAAATATCCCGTATGACCGGGTAATTCTCGACTAACACGTACATTTCCTTCACGTGTTTTTAATGAATAAATTGAACAAATATTATCAAGACCACCACAAGCTACAAAATTTCCAGATGGTGCATAGGCGCATGTCATCACCCATGATGAACGAAGTGGGATAGCGTGAACCTAATATTTAATAGAAAAATAGCAACATTTTTATTTCTACAATCTTTATTTGTTTTATACCTTGTTCGTGGTGTATGAATCCCATACAATGAGTTTTCCGTCTTGAGAAGCTGATACTAAATTTCTAGAGGAGGAACTAAAAGAAAAAAAAATTTAAATATATATGTTAAATAAAAATTTTGATTAAAACAAGAACACTCACCTTGAATCCGAACCCCAATGCATGGCATAAATTTTGGCAAGATGACCACGAAGGGTTCTTCTTGTACGCATTTGAATACGACCAATCTGATCGACATTTTGTGCTACTTGTAATAGAGTAGCATCACAAGCTGCCTTTCTGGCATCCTAGATAAAAAAAAAAAAAGAAAAAAAATTAACATTTTGAAAATGGAACGAACTAAATAAATATTTATTAATACATACACGAATTTGATTTTTGAGCGACTCGGCTTCTTGACGTAAACTTTCAATGTCACTCATTGTGATTTAATATTTATTATTAATAAAAAGATAAGGGATAAGACAATGGGAAAATAAGGAGAAAAATTAATTTAACTGCGAATTGTGATTGTTGAACAAACCTACAATAAAATAAATATTTAATATTTATTCAAAAATCTATCATTAATATGAAAAATATCTTAACTATATCTTTCATTATTTTCTTTTTTTTTCACAATATTAAAACTTCAATAACTAATACAATCTATTTTTACTTTTTGTTTTGAATCTGCAAACTTGTACTAAACATACATCTCTAACTTAAAATAGAATATTGTACTTATCAATAATTGCTTTTAATCTGAAAAATGATAAATTTTGAATCAAAGCTAAAATAATCCTGGTATGCTATGATGAAAGAAACGAGTGATTGATGAATAAATGCAAACAGTACTGATCAGTTCTTATCATATCACCAGTTTCTTTTAATATAAATCTAATTGCATAATATGAAACAAGGGTCGTCATGGATTATTTCCGTGTTTATCAGATTTGTCGGGTGTTATCATTAATATTTGAAAATGTAATCTTACTCTTATTGTCCTTGAACAACATCTTTATATAAATGGAACTTTACCAAAGAGAAAAATCTGTTTTTCTTCAATAATCTAATCGGGTGATGTGCGTGAGAAATAAGTATTATTTCAAGGAAGGAAAACAACACGTTTTTGTAGTATTTAATGGAATCAAACAAAATCTTCAACGGTAAAAATCGCTAAAAAATGCAACGAACTGAGAAAGACTCTTGTTGTTTTCTTACTGACGACGATGTTAGTCGTGCGTGTGTCACGATAGTTCTTGCTCGTTCTCTCTCTCTCTCTCTCTTTTATGTCTCGTCTTGCGCGACGACATTGATGATGCTGACTGTGTGACAGTCAATGTGTGTGTACTATCTACTACTGCATTCTGCTACTGCCATTGCCACCACCGTCATCGATGGTGGCAATAGTAGTGTAGAATGATGGTGTACATGTGCATGTGTATTATTCTCTGGTCGAAATGGGTGACGCACTCGCGCAATTTTTTCTCTTCTTCAACATGTTATTCTTATACGACAATGATGGTACGCATACAAACACACAATGAAGGAGGCTTGACAATCTCTATTGTACAGGCAATAACAACATGCAGGAATACATAAAAAAACATTAAAAATAAAAATCAAACTATAAAGGATTTCTTTATTTTTTTATTCTCTGTTGTTTGCTTATGTTCCTATATATATATGTATATATATCTTACTTGATCTGTTTTATTGTATGATAGAAAATAGAAGAATGAAGAATGACCATCAAGAAGATAATAATAATGAACAACAGACGTGATTATTGATGTAATAACTTAAATAATGATAATAATGGTGATTGTCGTATTGTTTTTGATATATTAGTTTCCGTTTAATACGTGCGTACATTGTAGAGAAAATATGATTTTGTCTGAAATTCTATCATTTATGCATACACTTCTACGATGTGGCAAAATAACAAACACACACACACATACACACACGACTGCTGGTTTGTTTCAGTTTTTCAACAAAAAAAAAAACGAGAAGAAAAAAAAAAGAAAAACGACGATCTATCGACGACGTTACTGGTTGCTGTTGCCGCTCGGGCGAGCGAGCGAGCGGACGGGGTGGGTGAAACAACAAAGAGAATAGTTTGGCCGACTAGTAGCGGCAACTGAGAGGAAAAAGTCTGCGTGTATATGGCAGCAATAGGGTGAGGAAAAAAAACGAAGAAGAAAAAGAGCGATGGCTGTATGTAGAATATAGATGGAAGATCTTCCTTCTTTTCCAAGCGACGAGGAACAAGAGAAAAGAAAAAAAAGAACGCGAATGCACGCCGGAGTCGGGTCCAGACCAGTCAGCCAGCAATGATGATACGATGCTGATGAACAACTCTATTGTTGATGATAATTTTCTTTGCGTTCCTCTCTCGCTGCTACACTATCGACAACGACCGGCTTCGCCGTCGTTACCGCCGCTATTCGCTTTCCTATAATCATAATTCTAGTAATGCGAACTAGTTGGTTTTATTTGAAAAAAAGCGAAGGAAGAAGAAAAGAAAGGAAAAGAGAAAAAGAAGGAAATAAGAACAAGAGCAATACTAGGAACTACTGTTGTATACCATTGAGAGCTCAACTCGACGTTAGCCAGGAGAGCAGGAAGTAATGATTACTTGGTGCGATGACGACGACGAGAACCGAATGCCATAGAGAGAGAGAGAGAGAAAGAGAATGAAAGAAACGCGTTCGGGTCCGTTAAAAAACACACACATACACATACAGACATAAACCAGTTTGGCGTCGTTCTTATCTTTCTATCATTCTATTGCAGTCGCGTCTATTCTCTGCCACAGCTAGCACTATTACCACTAAAAAGAAGAAACAGCCAACAGAAAAGAAGAAGAAGAAGAAGAAATCCACTTGATAACAGGCATCACTAACAAATGATGAATAGACAAATAGACCAATGTCCATCATCATTATTTTTGCTCATACTAATAACAAATATGATTGTCTAATGAAAGATAAAACAGTATGCATGATGTAAGACAGATCGTATTCAAATGCATCATCTATCATCATTCTAATGGAAAACAGAGACTCATAGATACATACACCGCAACTTTGTTTTTTTTATGTTTCAATTGAACCAAAAAAGATAAAAGAGAGAAAACACAAATGCTCTTACAATAATATGAAGGTGAAGAAAATAATCCTCTTGCATTTCTATCTTTTTTTCTCTTGTTGCTGTCTTTCTCTCTATATTCGACACTTTACTACTCTTCAGTCTCAGTCATCTTTTCTCTTGTTACTTAGTCGGCTTTCTTTTTTTTGAGGAATAGCGTCGTATACCCGCAATGATGACGCCGCGAGTGACGGGTTTGACACGCAGTTCCCTCCCAATTTCGAAGATGAATTAACGAGTGAACAAGAAGGAAGAACAAGAAGACGAAGAAAAAAGACGAAGAACAAGAATAAGAAAGTTAAGAATATATATGTCGCTTGTTGATAAGAGAAACAAGCTAGCAAGCAGAGATTTGTGTGGGATAATGACAGATGTGATGTCGTTCAAACATCATTTTTTTTACGAATTATTTTCATCACAAAGATATATATATATATATATATCCAACAGACGACGAAATCAATTAATCTTTCTTAATATACAAGTTAAACACTATTTTCCATATAGAACTTTGCTAGGTTTTTTTAATATCATGTCATCAACTAAAAACAATAAAAGTTATGAAATCAAAAAGACCAAAAAAAAAAAAAGAATATAACATAAAATAAAATAAAGTCATTCAATCTAATCGAAATAAATTTAACTATATGTGTACATTGATAATCTTGGAAATGATAGCAATCAACTTAATACACTTGTAATCATGACAATTAATATTAAATGACTCTTTTTGGACATAACAACCGTTTCTAAGAGCATCTTTTTTTTTTCATGTGTATATACTACTTTTTTGTTTCCTTTCAAGAACAGAAGTTCATCTTTGCATACAATTAAAAGACTCTTACTAATCAACCAAACTTTAACATTACTAATATTGATCTAAGCTAATAATGTATTCTACTTGTAATATATTGATCTCAAATAATTACTATTAATGAATTAATATAAAAAGAATAAAACAATAAAACTTACCTAATCTGAATATATTTGAGCTTCGTTATATAATGAAGCTCGTATCGTGGTTAAAATGAATAAATTTGAGAATCGAATTTCGAAAAATGATTGTCAATAATAAATTGATAAAAATTGATGTAAATTAATTTCGAGATTCGTTCTTTTTAAAATTATATATTGACAAAAACAAAATAGAATAATCAAAAGACTACTAATGTGTCTGAAAGAAACATCAATAACACAATAAATGTTACCATTATCAATGTATATTCGACAATAAATAGACTCTAATTTGGTGTTCAAATAATATAAAAAGATATTTATTTTTATTTAAACATTCTCCTTTAGAAATGTTGAATACAAATATGAATGTTTTCATAAAATTTTAGAGTCGTTGTAATCAAATAGCCACTTAAAATGCATAAGTGCTCATCCAGAGGTCGCTACTTTATAACAAGAATTCTACATTTGATTCATAGGATAATATGCAAAGATTTAGTGTCTTACTCATTTTTTAAAAAGAAAATATTTTTATTTTTGAATTTATTAATATAATGTATTGACTTACATATGTATTCATTATAAACGACAATATTACTTCTCATCGTAATAAAAGAAAGATTTTGACAGAATCTCGAAAGAGAAAAATTTAATTCTAAAAAATGATTGATGATTTCAAAATAAAGCTTTAATTTGAGGTCTAATCATAATTGACATTTAAAAATAATCCATCTTAAATGACTAAATATCTGATTGACAAGAAAATCTTCAAGTAAAATCAATAAATTTAGTTCAATCGTTTATATAGTTCAAAAATTCAATAAAAAAAAAAAAAAGTCGAACATGTTTACATATGATTTTATCATTATCATATACATGTATAACATATTATGTTGCTCTTAATAATAATGAATTACTATGTACCTATGATAAAATAGATTGAAATTAAAATAATCCTAGACACAAAGTAGCTAATCTTGATCCAGTTGCAGCGCAAATGAACTTACTGAAATAGTTGAATCTATTTAACGAAGACAATAGCCATGAGGGAATCACATTAATTCAAATGATGGAATTTATGACAATTTTATGGTAAGAAGAAGGTCACAATGATGGAAGTCATATAAATGAAGAAACAACAGTGATAATTAAGTATATTGTATATAATCAGAAATTAATTAGATTTTAATTTTCGATATATAAATCTATACAGCAGAATGAAATTATTTCGAATCTTTTCTTTTTAATACTTTCTGATATATAATCCATCATTAGACATTAATTTTTCTTATGAGTCATAAAAGCATATTAAGGATTGAATAAGAAAAGCATG